AGAAATATTAACGGTAGAAATTCCCTCTAGAGGATTATTAGAAGCTCACTGTGTATATAAAGATTGTAAGATAACGGTTTCAAGAATAGAAGTATTTGTGAATCTAATATTATTAGATTTTTCAGGATTTGATGTGATATTAGGAATGAGCTGGTTACAAAAGTATAGAGAAATAATCGATTGTGAAAGTAAAATTGTAACTTTATAGTCCCCGAAAAAGATGTAAAATCTATTGTTATTATTTTTCTTAACAATCGAATAAACAGGAATATGGGTGTCGGTCTTGCTATATATTCCATACCAATTGTTTGTAACTTTTTAGATCTCTTTTCCATCGAGCTTCCTGATCTGCCTCCCCCGCAAGAAGTAGAGTTCCTAATTAAATTGCTCCATGGAACCCAACCAATCTCCAAGTCTGCCTATCATATGAGTCGTGCTGAGCTTGCAGAGATAGACAATCAGCTTTCTGAACTAATTAATTGAAAGTTTATCCGCCCTAGTCATTCTCCTTGGGGCGTTTAAGTATTGTTCGTAAAAGATAGTTCCCTTAGACTCTATATGGATTACCGGGAGTTTAACCAAGTAATAGTTAAAAGTAAATACCCCTTACCTATGATCGACACCTCTTTGATCAATTGTAACGAGTCTCGGTCTTCTCCCAAATTGACTTCAGGGACAGGATATCACTAATTGAGAGTTAAAAAAAGAAGATATTTTGAAGATCGCTTTTTGATGTAGTATAATTTGTACGAATTCATAGTAATACCGCTTGGGCTAACCAATGCCCCTACAACCTTCAAAAACTTCATGAATAGAGTTATTCGGCATGCACTAGATCAGTGCATCATCGTATTTATTGATAACACTTAGTGTATCCAAGATCTTGGAGGAACATACAGTACACTTGTTTGAAGTGTTGGAGACCCTTCACTAGAATCAAGTGTATGCTAAACTTAGCAAATGCTCCTTTTGATTGAATCGAGTTTCCTTCCTCTATCATGAAATTTCGAGTGAAGGAGTTTCTGTGGATCCGTCTAAGGTTGAAACAGTAATCAACTAGAATCTGCTCACCAATGTGGCCGAGGTACGTAGTTTCCTTGGCTTGGCAAGATATTATTAGCGATTCATTGACAGATTTTCTAAGATTGATGTTCCATTGACCCAACTCACCCAGAAAGGTATGCCATTTGTCTAAAGTTACGAATGCAATGAAAGCTTCATGGAATTAAAGCGTCGTCTTACCTCTACTCCCATGTTGATCCTTCCTGACAATATTGAAAGGTTTCAGGTCTACTGTGATGCATCTCATATTGACTTAGAGTGTGTCTTGATGCAGCATGGTAGAGTAGTCGTTTATGGGTCCCGACAATTAAAGCTTCATGAGTGAAACTACCCTACCCATAACCTGTGGTTGGCGGCCATTATCTTTACCTTGAAGATCATCATTACCTGTTGGTTAGACTTTCGAGATTTACACTGATCATAAGAGTTTAAAGTACATCTTATCGCAGAGGGAGTTAAATATGAGACAGAGACGTTGGATGGATCTCTTGAAAGATTATGACTACAAGATCATCTATCACCCCGGTAGAGAAAATGTAGTCGCCGATGCACTAAGCCAAAAAGAGTCTGCAGTATTAGTCCAAACCATGGCCTCTAATTGGAAATTAATGGATACTATATAGTCGCTCTGCCTTAGCTATTATGGTAAAGACACTTATCTCGCTCAGATCTGAGCTCTGCGGGATCTCTTCTTGAAAATCTAGGAAGCTCAGTCCATGGACTCGGAAATCACTAAGAATCTATGTAAGTTCTCTTCTGATGAATTTTCTGATTTTAGGATTTCAGATGATAGATTATTTAGATTTTGGAACTGAATTTGGGTTCTAGTCGCTATAAAGGCGGATGTTTTCAAGATTGTCCATGCTTCCAAGCTATCTATCCATCCTGGAGTACCAAGATATATCGGGACTTGAAGATTCAATACTGATAGCTGAAAATGAAGAAGAATATAGTCAACTACGTCTCCCGATACCTTATTTGCCAAAAGATTAAGGCAGAACATCAAAGACCTGACGGTTTGTTACAAGGCCTCCCGATACCAGAATAAAAGTGGGAACATGTAACCATGGATTTTGTCACATGATTGCTCAGGACCTGTTCTGGACGGAACTCTATTTGGGTCATTATTGACAGACTAATTAAAACCACCCATTTCTTACCCATAAGGACCACTGACTCCACCAACAAATTAGTCCACCTTTATATTGATGAAATTATTCGACTTCATAGTGTTCCCTCATCCGTTGTATTCGATCAAGATTCTCGATTTACCTCCCACTTCTGAGACAGCTTTCAGGAAGATCTGTGGTCTGGATTGTATTTCAGCACTGCTTATCATTCCTAAATATATGGTCAGTCAGAACATAAAATTTAGACGTTGGAAAACATGTAGCGTACTTGCATCATTG